AAAGACCCCCAGCAGGATGGATTGGCAAAGTGGTAGCATGAATGGGATCAAGCGTGTCAACCATAGTGAGGGTGGCCCAGGATCGGGCAGTGTTTCCTTCTGCTGTGCATAAGGTCTCTATGAGTGGGTACTGACTCGATAGTACCTAACAACAAACCTGTAGGGTAATCTCCATTTTTGGATTTGTTCTTATCTGTTTTCTTGTTAAATCAAATGTTTGCATAAACCAGATCGGTGTTGTTACTAGAGTGTTAAATCTTAACCTGAGCTTGCAAGCAGAAAAATTTAGCTTGAACTCTAAACTGAAAACCTGAAGTATAGTTTTCTTTAGTGATATCCCGGTAGAGGGAGCTCAAGGCTCATAAATAAATACCCAAATGGAGTACCACTTTTTGTACAAAGTAGAATTATCTCCCATGATTTCCCTGAGACTCATGAAGTAAAATTACTGCATTAGAATTCAAAACATTAAGAAAATGGAAAACTAATTTAGACCAAATTAATGAAGAAAGTAAGTTAACGATAATGAAAACAAGCCAGTAATAAAATCCTGAGTCAAACCTCAGATATATTAAGGCAGAGTTTTGAAGACTCAAGACACCAAGGCAGTTCCTAAAGGTTCATAGAAAAAGGAGAGTCCAGTGGACTCAGTTGGATTTAGAGTCTGATATTCGGGTCTTGTAATGGAGGCATGGCTCCAGTTTGGATCACCAATATGGCCGTAGTGAAAAAACTACAAGTCTGTTTAAAATAAAAACCAAGGAGTTTATTACAGTGAATGAGCATTTTACCAAACATGGAACCAGAGACAAAAAACTCTTGTTCCAAGAGACTGCAGAGTAATGGAGGTTAATAAAAAACTGCAAGTAAATGGGGGTATAGTTGGAATCTTTTTTATGTTTGACATTTACAAGGTGTGGCGCTGTAGTATAAGCACTGGACCACAAGATCAGTTTAAACCACAAGGTCAGTGGTTCAAACCCATCAGCCACTCCATGGAAATCCTATATAGGATTGCTATGAGTCGGAACCAACTGGTCAGCACTTCATAACAACAATATTACAGGTGTCAGGGTCTTGATTAACTACTAAAATCACAGTTCCTGGTATTTAGACATCTGTTGCTGTTATCCTTGAGTGCCGTCGAATAGATTCCAACCCATAGAGACCTTGTGTAGGGTTTCCAAGGAGCAGCTGGTGAGTTTGAACCACTGACCTTGCAGTTCAAATGGCTTTGCAGTCTGGCGCATTAACCCACAGTGCCACATCTGTAGTCTGTGTTAAAATGACTTTTATTAATATATTTCAACAGAACTTTCGATGGTGAATTCTGTTGAAATATAAAAGCAAAGAGTTTGTTGAAGAAATAGAATGGTTACAAGTATTCTAATGCTCAAGGAAAGAATAAGGATTTTTATATAGAAAAAGTTATGTTTGCATTTAACATCAGCTTATTCTAATCATAAATTGGGTTATGATTTGAAATAAAGGTTTGGAAAATTACAAGTACAGTTGAGGGGATTTTAAAGGAAGTGTTTTCTTAGAATTAATTTAGTCACTAAAGTTACATGCTTAAAGTTGAATAACCTTGTAGGGTGGACAAAACACCATTTTTCTGTAGAAACTGCTTGTGTCTAGCTTAAAGGTACAGTGAAAAAACATTTTTTTTTTTTTTTTTTTACAGAAGTCACAGTCTATATTGTGTAACAGAAAAGTACAAAATTGAGTCACTTAGTACAAGGAGGGGTTTGACCTAAATGTTAGCCAGAAGTTCATTCATGTTAAGAGCCTTAGTTTTGGAATGCTCTTTTTTTCTCATGAGAAAGACTAGTTGTAGTTAAGGATAGTGAAAGAAAGGGCATGAGTAGCATGTGTTGAGATTAGACAGGTGGATGAGTCGGATCATGTGACTTCTAGTAGGCCAAGGTGAAGAGACTCACAGGGAAGCAAGGGGAATAGTTGCTAGAGGCTGTTATAGGAAACCTGGTGTGTAGCTGCAGGATAACCACTGCACTGCTAACAACAAGGTTCTCGGTTCACACTATACAGGGTCACAACGAATTGCAATCAGCTCAACCACAGCATTCACCATTAAGAGGCTAGGTGAGAGGGGATGGTTACTTGGGCTAGCGTGGCACTGGAGCCAGAGAAGTTGAGAAAAACGAACCCAGTAGTATATATTTTGGCGCAGAAATGCCAAAAGATGACCCTTGGATTTGAATGTAATCCTCACAGAAGTACATGAAGAGAGAGGTATTAGAGTTCATTGTATTGTTTCTATCAATTAAAATTTGGAACTTCGAGGAGTATACAACAAATGGGTTATTAAATAAAATTTTAGTGCAATGATTTCTGGTTGTCATATATAGATTTAAAAAGCGTGAAGACACAATATTGAGTTCAGAAGATCAATATCAGATCTGATTCTTGTGCATTTATGTGTTTGTGTCTAGAATAATATTAGGAAAGTAGACACATCACTGCGGGAAGAGATGTGGGGAGAGGAGCCTTTTCTTTTATTTCTTCCGTTTGCATTTATTTTTGCAAGCCACGTATATTGCAACACTTTTCTAGCAGTTAAGTGCCGTCAAGCCCGTTTCGACTCATGGTCATAGCGACTCTGTGTAGCGTTTCCCAGGTGTGGCTGGTGAGTTTGAACCGACCTTGTGGTTCAAACGACCTTGTGGTCCAGTGCTTATTCTACAGCGCCACATCAGAACTCCTCTGTAATAGTGTTGCTGTTGTAAAGCGCCGTCGAGTGGTTCAGACTCATAGACACCCTATATAGGGTTTCCAAAGAACGGGTGGTGAGATTGAACCGCCGACCTTCTAGTTCAAACTGACCTTGCAGTCCAGTGTTTTATCCCACAGGCCACACCAGAATTTCTTTGTAATAGCACACTTAGTTAAAAATGTCTGTAATTTCAAACAAGGGGCAAGTCGGACTCCCGCGCCTTTTGTCCTAACCACGTGTTCTTCTCTTGCGTTTGGACCTCCCACGCCCCACCCCGTCTCTCCGTATCCGGCGTCTCTACTTTCGCCTCTCGGGCGCCTCGGGCTCTCTCTGAGCGCATGCTCCTTCTCATTCAAAGTCCGGGCGTTTCCCTCCCCCCAACCCAAATTTATTCGCCCAGTGCGCAGGACCATAGCCCCTTCCTCACCTCCCCTCTACACTAGGCGTCAGTCGCCGTGTGTTTGCGTCATCGCGCCACGCCACCACCAGAGCCTGTATGAAGATGGCGGCAGCCGTTCTTAGCGGGCCCTCTGGTGGCCCCGCGGCTGGGGTTCCTGGCGGAACCGGGGGTCTCTCGGCGATGGGCTCAGGTCCACGTCTCCGTCTGCTGCTTCTGGAGAGCGTGTCCGGGCTGCTACAACCGCGAACAGGGTCCACTGTTCCTTCCGTACATCCCCCAGTCCGCTCGGTCCCACATTTACCCGGTCTCGTGTGCTTGTTGCAGCTGCATGGGACGGTGGGCGGGGCCCAGGTGAGTCCTAGGCCGCGTATTCGTGGCCCTGTGGAAGGTTAGCGCCGGGTACCTGGGCGTCGGAGTCCCAGAACACTGCAACTGCTTTGGGAGATTGAGGGAAGAAGAGCTGAGGGAGAAAGCCGACCTGGATATCCGTCCGCACGAGATCCACACGGAGTTTTCTCCAAGGAAGAGATTTGGCCTTACTGCTCTGTTGCTTGGTTATTGGTGGTAGTTGTTGTGTACAGTCAGTCATATCCCACTCATAGCGACCCTGTATAGAGTTTTCGAGGCCGTCAGTCTTTCTGGGAACAGACAGCTTTATTTTTGTCACGTGCAGTGGCTGGTAGATTCAAACTGTTGCTAGATTCTAATTCAACTTGCAGTTGGCAGCCCAACGTGTAACCCACTACACCAGGGCTCCTTAGGTTATTGGTAGGCACATATGAATGCATTCAGTTCTAGACCCCTTAATCACTCACTAGTTATATGATCTTTAACCTCATTGTCGTCTGATAATAGTTGTTCTATGGGATTGTTTAGACTGAATTAACGCCTGTATTCAAGGAATAAATACATACTGAGCTCTTATTCAGGGTTGGGTACTGTACTGGGTGTTCCAGTTATAGAAGTGGTGGCAGATTATAAAACTTTGAAAATTGTATAGTTGTTGTTAAAAGTGCCATTGAGATGGTTCTGACTCATAGTGACCCTGTATAGGCTTTCCAAGAAGCAGCTGGTGGGTTTGAACTGCTGACCTTGTAAGTAGCAGTCCAGTGCTTATTCTACAGTGCCACACCAGGATTCCATAGAGGTTGGCTAGGGAAAGAAAATGGGGAGGAAAGGCTCAGTAAGGGGGAAACCCATGTGGGAAGGCCCTGTGTTGAGAAGCAGTTGTCAAGAAGGTCATTGTACCTGGCACCAAGATGAATGGGAAGAGATTGGAGATGGGGTTGGGGAGCAACAGTGGACAGGTTATGCAAGGCTTTTTAAATTAGACTGATAATTTGGAATTTGCTAAAAGCCAAATCTCTGAAACCCTCTACAGGGTTGCTATGAGTCGGAATCGACTGCATGGCACTTAACAATAAAAGCTGAAGAAAACATTCAGTTCTCTGCAAGCTAGAAACCCAGGGATTAGTCTCGCTATTTCCTTCTTGGTCACACAACCACCGCTAATCCTGTTGATTTTATCTTGAGTAGTTTTCAAATCTGTTTAATCCTTTCCATCCGAGTTTGAACCACCATTGTTTTCCTCAGGTGTAAGTACTGATCCCAGGACATGATGTGTCGAACACATAGTTGTTAAGTGCTGTCAAATCAGTTTTGACTCATGTTGATCATTTATAGAGTTTCCAAGGAGGGACTGGTGGATTTGAACTGCTGACCTTATAGTTAGTAGTCCAGTATGTATCCTACAGTGCCACACCAGGACTCCTCAACCCATAGTATTGTTATAAAATGCTGTTTAGTCAGTTCTGACCCATAGCCACCCTGTATAGGGTTTCCGAGGAGCAGCTGGTGGGTTTGAACTGCCAACCTTGTAGTTCACAGTGCCACAGCAGGAGTCCTGTTGAATAAATATGGTGAAAGGATTTAACCTTGGTTCATACATTTCCTGATTTTAAATCATACAGTATCTTGTTCTGTTCTAAGGGCTGCCTTTTGGTTTATGTCCAGGTTTCTTATGAGCACGTTAAGTGCTCTGGAATACCCATTCTTTGTAATGTTATCCATCTTGTTGTTAAGTGCTGTCGAGTCGGTTCCGACCCATAGCGACCCTGAACAGGGTTTCCGAGGCTGTAAATCTGTACAGGAGCAGAAAGTCTCATCTTTCTCTCGCGGAGCAGCTGGTAGTTTTGAACTGCTGACCTTGCGGTTCACAGCCTGATTCGTAACCATTATGCTACCAGAGCTCCTTAATGTTATCCATAGTTTGTCACAATCCACACAATCAAAAGCCTTTGCATAATCAATAAAGCACAATTAAACGTCTTTATGGTATTTTCTGCTTTCAGCCAAGATCCATCTGATATTAGCAGTGATATCCCTCTTTCCACATCCCCTTCTGAATCCGACTTGAATCTCTGACAGTTCCTGTTAATTATATTGTTGCAGCCATTTTTGAATTATCTTAAGCAAAATTTTACTTGCAAGTGATTTGAATGATATTGTTTAATGATTTCTGCATTCCATTGGGATTTCTGCGTTCTCTTTGGAATGGGTACAAATATGGATCTCTTAAAATCAGCTGACAAGGTAGCTGTCTTTCTTTGGCATAGATGATGTTGTTGTTGGTAAGTGCCATCGAATTGGTTCCAACTTATAGTGACCTTGTAGAGGGTTTCCAATGGGCGACTGGTGGGTTTGAACCTTTGATCTTGTGGTTAGCAGTCCAGAGCTTATCCTATAGTGCCACATCAAGACTTTAGCCATGTGTCTTAAGTTATTTTAAATCTGGAATGATTCCTTAGACTTCGTTTCACGATCCTGACAGTTTTGAAGAGTGCAGGGTAGTTAAGGAATGCTGGTGGTGCAGTGCTTTAGTGCTCAGTTATTAATGGAAAGGTCAGAGGGAGCTAGCCCCTCTGCAGGAGAAAGATTACATACAGCATTGGAAACCGTGTGGGGCAGTTTTGCTTTGTTTTATAGGGTTGCTATGAGTCAGAATTGACTTGATGACTGTGGGAACATAGGTATTTTGTAAGATGTCCCTCAGTGTGGTTTGTTTCCCATCTCATAAGTGGATTCAGGTTGTGTGCTTTGCAGGCCGGAATATCACATAAGTCCTCATTGTGTCTGGTGGCACATGATGTGATAATGCTGACTTTGATTACTGGGTGCTGCCTACCAGGTTTCTTCAGTGAAAAGTTTTGGTTTTATATAAGTGGAATTACAAAATGTGGCTTTTGGGGTTGGCTTCTTTCACTCAGCATTTCATTCTTGAATAATATTCCATTGTAGGGATAGACAGTGGTTTGTTTACCCATTCATCAATTGATGGACATTTAGATCATTTCCCCTTTTTGGCTAATATGAATAATGTTGCTGTGAACTTTAGTTTTTGTGAGGATACATATTTTCATCTCTCTTGGGAATTTAGTAGACTTGCTGGGTCATATAATATCTTTGTTTCATCTTCTGAAGAACTGTCACTGTTTTCCAAGGTGGCTGCACATTTGCATGAGGTTATCAGTACACTATATGCTAAATACCCGGACTCCTGGTGTGGTACTGTAGGATCGCCACTGAATTTCAAACCACAAGGTTGACAGTTCAAACCTACCAGCTGCTCTTCAGACTGATTCAATGGCACTTAACAACAATAACAGGCCAAACATTAGAGTCCTGGTGTGGCACTGTAGGATCAGCACTGGACTACTAACCACAAAGTCAGCAGTTCAAGCCCACTAGCTGCTCTTCGGAAACCCTATACAGGGTAGCCATGTGTCACACTGACTTGAGGGCACTAAACAACAACAGTCAGTGCAGTATATACTATAGGACAAACATTGACATCTTGGTGTGGCACTGTAGGATCAGCATTGGACTGTTAACCACAGGTCAGAGGTTCAAATCCATCAGCTACTCCTCGGAAACTGTATATAGCAGGGTTGGAGAACATCTGGCTCATAGGCTGTATGTTGTTGTTGTTAAGTGCCGTCAACTAGATTCCGACCCATAGTGACCCTTTATAGGGTTTCGGAGGAGCAGCTGGTGAGTTTGAACCACCAGCCTTGCAGTTCAAATGGCTTTGCAGTCTGGTGCATTAACCCACAGCACCACACCAGGACTCCAGCCATTACATTGTTGTTGTTGGTAAGTACTGTGGAGTTGGTCCGACTCATAGTGACCCTGAACAGGGTTTCCGAGGCTGTAAATCTTTATGGGAGCAGAATGCCTCATCTTTCTCCTGTGGAACTGCTGGTAGTTTGGAACTGCCGACCTTGAGGTTAGCAGCCCGATTCGTATTAGGAGTGAGTTCATTACATGTTTGACCAAATATAGCATGTTGATTTTTTCCCAGCTTTTTATTGTGAATTGAGTGAAAGT